CCCTTTGCTTCCTGGTTCTTTCCTCTATTTCCTTTTACTTTCCTCTTGTCCCACTATCACGTTCAGCCTTCATTTGGGTTTCAGTAATTCCTCTCAGTTACATTGTCCTTGATCAAGCCCTACCAGGCCTCCTACACCCTCCTCACTGTCGATTTTGGATCACTTGCTGTTCCCTTGTTCCTGGGTTTGTTAACACCCACTTCCTTTCCTCTGTCTCCCCCTCTCCCATGTCCCCCTGGAACCATTGGTCCCATTGTTTTCTCCTCTAGATTGTTTACAGAGGTAGACTCCCATTCTTTTCTCCTGAAGAGTGGCCAGTGGGTTTGAACCATCAATTTTTTGGTGAGCAGCTAAGTGCTTAACCATTGTGCCACCAGGATTCCATCGTTTTCCTATACGCTGGCACATTTCCTGAAATGAAAGCCTGTCTACCTGCCAATGCATTATTTTTCCTAATGCTCTTGCTTCCGGTGATAATTTGTGGGAGAAAAATTCCCTGTCATTATGCACCATGTGACCCTGGGCTGGGTTGCTCCATGGCAGGTGGGGAATGGGAGCAGATCCTAGAATTAGACTGAGTCTCTGCCTTTCTTTTTATAGGTCTGAAAACTTTTGCACACTTCCACTTGACCCAGAAAATGATGCAGCAGTAATTGGATTCAGTCTCTTGTTCCCCCGACCTACTGCTCTCTCCTTCACATGATTGCTCTTGACAATGAGGAGTGGTTGAGCAAGAGTGAGTGTCCAGGTGTACCTGAGTATCTAGAGCTATAGACGTACATGCTATGTATGAACATTTTTGTGGACTCTGGGCACAGATTTCTAAGCATGTTAAAAGGATGAAAATCTTCAGAAGAAAGCCACATGAAGTACCATTATTTGGTTACCAAGGAAGGATGATTTATGTAAAACCATGAGGAAAATTTGGGAGAAATATGCTCCCCTTCAATCATTGATTCCTTCTTTGTTTTTGAGGTGGTGGGTGGTCATGGAGAGGATAAAGATATCTGAGCATGACCTCTATTCTTAAGGATCTTACAATCTTGTTGTTGGTGTGAGGTGCCATCCTCACAACTGTGTCCATCGTGCAGCTACTGCACCAATCCATCTTGCTGAGGGTCTCATCCCTTGGTGCTGCCCTTCTAGTTTACCAAGCATGATGCCTTTTCCAGGGAAAGTCTTGTAGGAACCCCAAACCAAGCCAACTGCTGTGAAGTCTGTTCTGACTCAGTAACCCTACAGAACAGAGTAGAACTGCTCCCGGGGGTCTCTCAGTCCAGGAGGAGACAGCCTCGTCTTTCTCCCATGGAGAGGCTGCTGACTCCAAAGTCCATTTGTAGGCCACTGGACATGCCCTTATGGAAGGGTCTCGGGGAGGAGGCAGCCAGTCTAGGGTGCGATGTAGCAACAATGAAACATACAA